TGACCGCTCCCTTATGCCTCGTGAAACATAGACATGTGTGCAGGGGGGATAGGACATACTCCCTAAGGAGGGCACCCCCCCCCCACAGTGTTTGGAGCAGTTCTCACGCTGCCGCATCAGTGCTTATGCAAGAGGCTCTCTGTGTCTTCTTCTCGCCGAGACGCACCCACATGAAACAGGGAAGAATTGTGCACAAAATGGAACCTAGACACTCCTAAATGTTTGGATTCTCCCCGAACACCACCTTCTCTTCCTGCAAAATCCCTCCATCCTCAGACCCTTTGATTATTTCCTCCATATACGTACCCATGGGTGTTATCATCTGTAGTAAATACTTACATAGCACATGAGGATTAGGGTTTTTTAAAAAATTGGAATACACCTTTGCTCTTGCAAATGCCTGAATGTGGGTTGTGTGCAATGCTGCTAAATATGCACGAGGGCAAAAGCAGGGGTGCGTTGGGGATCGGGGTCTGACCCATTTTTGCCACAGGTGCAATCTGACCTAAAAGTTTCCAGCACCTTTGAAATGCTCTGCCCGGGTATATGCAATACGGTTTCCAGCCCCTCTCTTTACAGGGCCTGCCAAATCAGCACCTGTTTACGCATCATGAAGAATCGAGTAACCGAAATTTAGTCAATCAGTATGACGATCATTACAACAGACATGGCTATAATCCTGCATTGCCTCCGGTCCGCAGATGGAATCGACATAAGCTAGCCTGGCTGCCAGAGAAATCAGATTTCCCTGTTTTCGGTACTTTTTTAGTATTATTCTGGTTGTCACTCACAGGGAGACAGTGTGGGCTAGTGGTCATCTTGCTCCTCCAAATGGCTTGCTGTATCCCTTAGGCTGGTCACTCTGTGCCTTAGCTTTCCCATCCGTAAAATGGAAAATAATAATAATATGTATTCACCACAGAGGAGAGCAGTAAAGTTTAATTAATGGGCCTCCCATGGGCAACAGTACAACTCCTAATGAAAACAATCTACCTGCTAGAAGAATCTGACCTATTGTTTGTAAGATTCTTTGAAGACTGGAAGTGCCTCAGACTGAGTACTGTTATGAACAGATAAATTAAGATGGGCTTTCTGTTCATTTCCCATTGCATAAGCATAAAGTCATCAAAGTCTTATCAAGCGGTTAGAAAAATCAGGAAATTCCTGAATTTGGGGGCTGAAGTACCCCGGCTTCATTCTGAGTTTAAGTGCTTAGCGTTGAATAGGCACCTGCTTAATAGACTTGTATTTGCCAAGCAAAATTTTCAAAAGTCTCTAATGATATGTCTTTTTTCCCCCCACTTCTCCTTTCCTCTCCCCCTCTCCTTCATGGAGTGTGTGCTGTGAGTGGCAGGTGGAAACTGTTGGCTTCTAATTAAAGTTTGAATTCTAGAAGCCTCTGCTGATTGGCTGAGCCTTGGAGGGGGAAGGCCTTTCAGGCAGTCCAGGGCTTTATAAAGCAGTGGGCAAGTGACCAAGGAGCTTGCGAACAGGTGAGTGAATGGCTCAGAGTTCATCTTCTTGCATCAGCTGGGTCTACCCACTTACAACAGTCACCGTCATGCACTGTCTCTACTGAGCAAGTGACCTTATCCAAGGGGTGACCATGGCACTTGTGTGCCTCTCCCTGGTGGGAAGAAGCAGAAGGATACATACGCCATATATGATGAGGCTACCTTATATATGTACACTCATTACATATGAAGACTGTAATATATGACACTTCTATTCGGGTGAATACACAACATGAGTGCAATAGACAAAATATATGCTACTTGCATGGCATCGACCTATTTAAGATATTTTTGTTTTATCTGTGGGGGTGGGCAAAGCTAAGCTGAAGAATGTTCAGGAATTGCTTTGAAATCCTCATACTGAAAGGTACATACATGCAAAAAGACCAAAACACAGGAATCGACAGGCTAGTGAGATGTTGAGGGGATTTGATTGTGCTCAAATTGGTTTGTAATTCCTAGTGAGTTTGACTCATGCTTAGCAGGAATTCTTCTCAGTTGTTAATGGTGGAGTGTTTGCCAATGTGAGTAAGGGTGAAAATCTAATTCTAAGTCATGCCCATCATCCCAGTGTCAAGTAAGGTGCTGCTCATTGTAAACAAAGTGTGCAGAATCTAACAGGGCTACATTTCTATCCCTTTCAGGTGGTGTCTCGCTCTCTGTTACCTATTTTTCCTGCACCTCAGTGTTACATAGGGTTGCCAGGAACCTTTATTTATACTGCCCTCATCTGGGTCCTAATTGGCTCCACCCCTCCAACCTTCTCCCAGAGCTGAGTTTTTACCCTTAAAGGGCCAGTGTGGGATAGATGCCGCATCACAATGTCTCTAAACTGATTTACAAAGTTCCTATAAATTGTGTGCATGTAGATTTTTGTTTGTTTGCATAAAAAGAAACAGAGACACTTTTTGAAAGCCAAAATAAATCAATGCTTCCAGCTCTGTTTTCACAGGCAACAAAAGCAAATTTGACAACAGTAAGGAGAAAACCAGTGAGGGAGGAAAAAGCTTTCTCCTTTAAAACGTGAAGATTTAAGAATGTTTTGGTAATTGGCTGTATGGAAATTTCAATATCAAAAACTTCACTGACACGACAAACTATATGAGTATTGTAATAAACTCATTCATGCTAAAATTCGACACTCTACGTGTCGGTCTCAACAAAGACATTAACTATCTTACCCATTACAAAGATAGCTTCCCCAATTATCACCTCTAATACCATTAGCTCACAGACATTTACCTTTCCCCACCTCTAGTATCACATTTCCCTTCCTCCCTCCCCCCCCGGCATCCGCCTTCTGTTCTGAAATGTGATTTGTCCTTTTCATATGTGTTCACTTTTTTTTTTTAACTGTATCCTTTGGTATATATGGTTGTGACTATTTTCTTCCACTATTTGATCTGAGGAAGTGGGTCTGGCCCACGAAAGCTCATCCCCTAATAAACCATCTTGTTAGTCTTTAAAGTGCTACATAGTCCTGTATTTTGTAATAAACTAAGGCATCTGTGTCCAGGACAGGCTTCACAAGGGTAATAATTTCATATAGTGTGTGTCCATTTCTCACTACTGCTTATCTAAGATTAGAGGGCTGGCTGTTACACCGTGAAATAAATATTTAATAATGAGAATGAGAATAAAAATAATTAATGGGGCTGTTTTATTTTACTGGCATATTTTTAAAGCAGGTCTGCATGGGTACGTCTACACTGCACCGTTATTTCAGAATAACTAGCGTTATTCTGAAATAACAAAGTGAGCATCTACACATTTATTCCATTATTTTGAAATAATTTTGAAATAATGGACAGCTTATTCCGACTTTTGTAAACCTCATTCCATGAGGAATAACGCCTATTTTGAAATAGCTATTTTGAAAAAGGGCAAGTGCAGACGCTCCACTACTGCTATTTCGAAATAGTGCTGCACCAGGGCCATTTTAAGTTATTCCTCCTCAGTATCTCCTGGGGCTCTACATTGAAAGAGAACATCTACATTAGGGAAGCCTGACTTGGACTACTTTTGAGGCTTCCCTGCAGTGTAGACGCTTTATTTTGAAATAAGCTATTTCAGAATAATTATTCCAGAATAGTTTATTTCAAAATAAGACTGCAGTGTAAACATACCATATGTGTGCATGTTTTTCCCCATTTAATTTTTATTTTTACCTTAAAAATAGGCCTATATAGCAAAATCCTAATCCAGGTTTCGAAACCTCAGGCTACGTCTAGACTGCCCCCTCTTGTGCAAGAAAATATGCAAATGGAGTGAAGCAGTGAATATCGTTGCACCTCATTTGCATATTTAAAGAGCCACCATTTTTGTTCAAGGCGCTTTTGCACAAAAAGGAGCCATCTACTCAGCTCCTTTTTGCTCAAAACTCCCCTCTTGTGCAAGAGCCATTCTGCCTAAATAAAAACGCTCCTTTTTGCTCAAAACTCCCCTCTTGCGCAAGAGCCATTCTGCCTGAATAAAAACAGCAGAGCGGCTTTTGCTTAAGAGGGGTTGTTTGCGGAAAACCTCTTGCGCAAAATGGTGGCTCATTAAGTATGCAAATGAGGCATGGCGATATTCACCGCTTTGCCTCATTTGCATATTTTTTTGCACAAGAGGGGGCAGTCTAGACGTAGCCTCAGAGTTTAGGGATACTGGATCGGCCCCATATAAAAAAGTAGGTCAGCTACAATATTAGAATCAGGGTCCAGATTTGGAATCCAATTTCTCATTTTCCTTTGTTAGGGGTTGTGTAGTGGGGGAGGGAGATGTGGTTAAATAATAGCTATTGGTTTTGGAGGGGCACAGGGAGGTGAGCAAAAAGGCCTTTAGATGTGGTCTCCAAGCTCTCCTACTACCGTTTCTTCCAGGAGCATGAGAGGATGCACAGAAAAGAAGGGCCCCAAGTCACTACAAGCGATGGGTCCAAGCCACCACATCAGAAGTCCCTCAAAATTCAGAGGTGTGTAGATCCTTGCACAGACCAGTGACCTAAGCTCCTCCCAAGAAAGCACATTGAGAGTATAAACACTGTGTCACAATCTCCGGACCAGTTATTGGAGTGGCTGCAATAGAAACGCACTGTGCAGCATGGGTGCTCTTTAATAGGATGTGCGTGTCTCCCCTTGGCTTGCCCTGCTTTCTACGCTTTGCTTCCAAGAAACTGGCAAGAAATCTGGTGTTTCTCACCCCCGCTCTCCTGCAAATGTGTTTAAACATATGAGACAGCTGGGCACAAGGAGAACCAGTGCACTTTGAGACAAATAAATAGTGGGTGCAGACCCCATGCAGTACAGTACAGTACAGCCTTCACTACTGCAATTTTCGCTGTCTGCTGCTAAATGCATTTGCATACCACAAACTTGAACTTCAGGTTCATTACACAGACCTAGATAAATACCACCTATGAACAGGCTCTGACTCTGTTATGGAGACATGAGACTGAACTACAGACATGGGTTGCCATAGTCCACATCCTTTCTCCGTCCTGCAGTCAATGCAAGAGTCAGTGCAGTTTCTGCCTATTAACAGCTGGCAACTTGTACAATGTTTTGGAGTGTTCTGACGCCTCATTGGCAGAGCTGCTGGCGTACACAGAGCTGTGACACTCCTGGAGTTATTACAGTTCTGAGCTTGATGACTCTGCAGTATTTGCTAACTAACCCTGTGCAGCAGCTGTAACAGAGGAAGAGAAAAATTCACCCTAGTGCTGCCAGATTGCAGAGGTGCTCCAGAATCAGGAAGTAACAAATCAAAGAGCACTGAGGAATCAGGTGAAGGTCAGATCCCTTGAAATGGCGTTTGCTTATATGCTGCTGGTGTTAGTCCTGGCAGTTTTCATTGCTGCTTTCATATTGTTAGTCGTGGGGACAATTTATTTTGCTCTCTCCAACTCAGAAATCCCTCCTGGCGTGGACCAGCCTGTAAAGCTCCGACTGCTTCACATTATTTTGACTGGAACAGCAGTTCTGGTGAGTTTACCTTGTCTGATATTAAGGATTCTGATGGGGGGGGGTGGGTGCTTAGGTGAGGGAATAAATGTCGCTAAGCATAATGCAAATGCTGGACATGGGAGCCCTGCCAGCTGCATTTACTAGTGGGGAAGGCTTGATGCTATTTTTGTGCTTTCTGGCTGTACTTAGGAAATTGTTTTGTGACATCTCTGTCAGACTTTTTACCTTTGTACATGTACAGTCAGGTTCTGCTCGGCTCTTCAGGGGGTATCTAGCCATGTTGCCAACCCCAAAGGATTCAGAAATTATGAATCAGGCCGTAAAAATCCTGAGAATTTTTAAAATGTAAAGATGACAAATATTGGGCTGCTTTTATTTCCCGCCCAGATCCTGAGCCTGCAGGCTGCACTAGGGCCACGTTCACAATTCTCTCTGCAACCATGACAGCTAGAAACTTGAAGAGAGGCTGAGATTCTCCTGAAATCACAGAATGCCAGAAGCGGGGGCTCTGAGAAAACCACCGTGTGTTATCTCAGAGGGGTCGCTGTGCCAGTCCTTATCTGCAAAACCAAATCACAACGTGTCGTCCGGCAACGGGAGGAACCTTTCCTTGCTCTGGACTATACCCATAGCTGGCCACAGGGCCAGGCAGAACTGCAGCCCCACCACTCTAGAGAGAGCAGGGTCACTCCAGCCCTACTCCCCCACGTGGCTCATGGAAGGGGGCAGGTGGGAGCCAGAGCCATGGCTCTGCCCCCTCTATGAGCTGGCCGGTTGTGTGGAGAGGGGTAAAATGCACCCTACAAAGAGGTATTGTAGCAAGCTTGCACCTTGTGCATGCTCAGCAGTGCTTGGAAGAGTCCTGTCTGCCAGAAGCCCTTTGCCTGCAAGCAGGGTTGGTGTTGGGTGGCGGAGGAGTAGCAAACAGGGCAGTTTCCTCATGCCACAGGGGGCCTCAAGTGATGGGCCCAAGGTCTTGGGTGGTGGGGCTCAGATTTTGGCCAAACTCCAATGTGTGAGCAGGTAAGGGAGGTAGGGTGAGCCCCTCTCCTTACGCTACTCATTCCCACAGGCTTGTTCACCCTGGAAGACATTTTGTTGCCTGGGGTGATGAGGGAAGCAAAGGAGGGTCTTATACTTGACTGCAGGTTCCCTCCGACACTGTACACGGCTTGTCTTGGCACAGTGATGGTTCTGCCCTGCCCCCGATGATGGCACAGAGGTGAGGGAATGCCAGCCTCCAGGGATTGAATACCACGTTTGCTCTGCCAGCCACTCTGAGGAGAAGGGTGGCACAGCAGCTGTATGAAGCTTTCAATGAGGTCTGTGACTAGTTTACGAATTGCCATCTGACAGGACCCTCTGTGCTAGCAGCATCACACAGAGCTCAGACTCCTTTCTGCAATACTCCTGCTCCTGCAAAGCTACTTGAGAGCGTTCCCAATCACTTTACAGTCGCACCATCCACAGCCTGTGAGGGCTGCGAGTGACTCGCTTCTTCGGGGGTACAGAACATCTCCTCTACAGATGCTGAGTCCTCCTCTGGCTCTGGGTCCCTCTCCCTCCTGAGCACTCAGCCACAACTTCCTCCTGGTTCAGTCCATTGCTGGATGCCCCTTGAGATCCTGAGGTAAACACGTGGGCTACGTCTGCATTGGCCCCTTTTCCGAAAGGGGCATGCTAATTTTACAGGTTGTAATAGGGAAATCTGCGGGGGATTTAAATATCCCCCGCGGCATTTAAATAAAAATGTCCGCCGCTTTTTTCCGGCTTTTAGAAAAGCCGGAAAAGAGCATCTACACTGGCCCTGATCCTCCGGAAAAAAGCCCTTTTCCGGAGGATCTCTTATTCCTACTTTGAAGGGCTTTTTTTCTGGAGGATCGGGGCCAGTGTAGACGCTCTTTTCCGGCTTTTCTAAAAGCCAGAAAAAAGCGGCGGACATTTTTATTTAAATGCTGCGGGGGATATTTAAATCCCCCGCGGATTTCCCTATTACGACCTGTAGAATTAGCATGCCCCTTTCGGAAAAGGGGCCAATGTAGACGTAGCTAGGGTCTTTGGTGCAAAGGTGAGGTCACCTCCAAGTATATCATCCAGATCCTTGGAGTACTGCAGGTCGCGGGCACAGCATCAGAGCAGAGGTTTCCTCCCCACACTTTGTGATAGGTGTTTCACAGCTCCTTCAGTCTGACCCTAAACTGCAGTGCATCCCAGTCCTGGTCCCTTTTGGTCATGCAACCAGAAATCTACCCATAGACATTGTAATTCCTACGGCTGGGGCACAGCTGAGACTGGCCTTTCTCCTCTCCCCAAATGCTGAGGAGGTCCAGTACCTTGGCATGGCTCCAAGCCAGGGATCCCCTGATGTGTGGAGCAGGCACGGCCAGCTGGAAAGATGCGCTGAGAACAAACCACGGGTCACCGGGCAAACAGGAAGGAGACTTTCAAATTTCAAAAAGAACGCAAGGGTGGGTCTTGGTCACCTGAGCAGGGCAGTGGAGTTCGAACAGATGACCAGAGAGGCCAGACCAGGCCTTGTGGGAACAGTGCTGGAGGCCAGTGTAGACACTGCGAACGTTACAGCGCTGGGGGCTGATTTAAAGGGCAGTAACTTGCCAGTGTAGACCTTGGCCTTAGTCTCTCCCCTGAGCCCCTGCAGGTGTATGGTTGGCCATGCCTGCAGGCCGCATCAGGCTCACACGTGCTTTCCTGCTTGCTTCTGAAGGGACAATTCAGGAGCACTTCACCCATTCAGCAGCTGGTGGCAGCAATGAAAAGAAAGGAGGGAGAGGGTGAAAGAGCAGTGGAGGGCAGCTCCCAGGCAGAGGAACCTACGTCTATCCACTGCTATCTAGCAGTAACCTCTCCACTGCGTGGCTTATGGGGAACTCTGCAGACAGCAAACCTTGGTGATTGGACACATTCCTGGTCCAGTCAAGATATGTGATAGTGATGGAATCACTTTAAATAGAAAGTGGCTGCATCACTCAGTGTATATTTAAATCCTGGTATTTAAACCCTTCCAATTACTTTAAAATAAAACAATACAAAGACATATTGGTTTCTCAGCTGGGACTATCCAGAGTTGCGATAGCCCCACCAGCATGTAATCCTATAACACAATTTCATGCTTACAATTCATGACAAGCATGTGATGAGTCACTCTGAATTTTTAACAACTGGGTTCTGGATTTTCCGGCTTCCCAAACTCGAAAATCCAGTTCTTTCTCTGTTGTTCACCACATACGTCTCCAAATTTCAGTTGTGTTGACGTATCCCCCCAGACTTCTTTCTAGTACCCTTAAGGGTACTTGTACCACTGCTTGAGAAACACTTTACTAAGACAACTTTTTTATGGGTGACCCTATGGTTCAGATGACTAATTGGCACTCATAGCAGAATGAACAAGGACTCAATAGCTTATGGCAACTGAATTCGCCAGTAAAGGGCATGGGACTAATGAAAAAGCCCGCACTTCAGAGGTTTGAGCAGAAAAGAGGCTGGAGTAAGAAAGCGGTACCATGGGGGTCTTTTATAGCTTCTGCCATGGAGATGGAAAACCATTGTTCCAGACCAAGCCCTCAGCACAGCTTATGGACAATTACAGGTAACGAGGAAGTATGGAATCACACTGGCAAGTCACATAAGTCACATGACGCACATTCAAGTTTGAGTATTTCCAGGAAAGCCCATTAGGTGCAGAGGGGTATCTTCCATGCTCCGTTGTGATTTAAGTGTTTCTTGATGGGCCATTCAAGTTGAATAGTCCCTTCACAATGTGCTGTCTCAATACCTCATGGATCTTATCAAAACGGCCGATCATTTGAAAAACAGGCACCCAGACAATAGCCATATCTTCAAATACAAAAATAATACATGCATACAAATAGCATAATCATATTCAGCAAATCATAACCTTTCCATAGACACCCTACACGCCATATTTTGTGCAACACTTGTTGCAAATATATAACATCAGTTGCAACAAAGATCTCCATGGTCGTGTTTTCATAGACTCATAGAACACTAGAACTGGAAGGGACCTTGAGAGGTCATCGAGTCCAGTCCCCTGCCCTCGTTGCAGGACCCAGTACTGTCTAGACCATCTCTGTTAGACGTCTGTCTAACGTGCTCTTAAATATCTCCAGAGATGGAGATTCCACAACTTATTCCAGTGTTTATCCACCCTGACAGTTAGGAAGTTTTTCCTAATGTCCAGCCTAAATCTCCCTTGTTGCAGGTTAAGCCCATTGCTTCTTGTCCTGTCCTCAGAGGCTTGGGAGAACAATTTAACTCCCTCTTCCTTGTGACACCCTTTTAGATATCTGAAAACCGCTATCATGTCCTCGCTTGGTCTTCTCCTTTCCAAACAAGCCCAATTCTTTTAGTCTTCCTTCATAGGTCATGTTCTCTAGACCTTTAAGGCCTAATCAGCATAGAGTAGAGTAGAGTAGAGTAGAGTAGAGTAGAGTAGAGTAGAGTAGAGTAGAGTAGAGTAGAGTAGAGTAGAGTAGAGTAGAGTAGAGTAGAGTAGAGTAGAGTAGAGTAGAGTAGAGTAGAGTAGAGATCATTTTAATCATATAATATCACAGAGAGCACAACTCACACCTACCAGGCAACCTATCTCACACACTTTCTTCATACTGGGGAGAATGGTGTTGTATTGATGCTAATCCTGGAGTCTTTCACTCTCAACAGGGGAAGATTTTGGAGAGGCTGGGCCTATGCAGTCAAGTTGGCTTTGTCCGCTATATGCGCCAGGGAAAGAAATTAGGAGAGGATCCCAAGCTCTTCATCAAGGACCTGCAGTTTGGGAGAGTGCCAGTGCGTCTTTACCAGCCTCAAGCACCTTCTGCTGGCCGAAGGAGAGGGGTCATCTACTTTCATGGAGGAGGCTGGATGTTTGGCAGCATTGGTAAGATATTTAACAGAAAAAAATTACGATGGAGAATTAAAGACAAAAACTCACTCTCTTTTTAGAAACCTCAAAGGGAAGTTGGTTTGGGCCTGAAATTTGGGGGGAGGTTTGAGGGTTGAGTCTTTACTACTGCATCACATATGCTGGCACGTTTTGACTATTCCAGACATCGGGGCAGCTGGAATGAAGTGTGAGACCATGATGAGCAAAGGCCATGAAGGGGACGAAGGGGACAAAATGAAAAATGAACTGGGGTCGGGGAGAAGAGTGGGAATTAGATGGGTGAAAGGAGAAAATTGTTATTTTCCTTAAATGTAGGGGCGAGATAACAGTGTATAGAACTGGATCTTCTTACAGTTCTGGCAAGACACCAATGAACATTTGTTTTCCAGATAGCTATGAAACTGTGTGCCGCTACATCGCTGGAGAAAGTGAATCGGTGGTTGTGTCCGTTGAGTAAGTGAGCTTCATCCAAGTCCTATTATATAGGAACTCATTGCTTGGCATTTTGATAGCCACTATAGAGCTGCATTGCATTTAGAGTGTCCCCCTTCTCAAAGAACTATATTTTCAAGAAACCAGGTGGCTCCGCAAGACACTCATGTTTGTTTATATGTTTTTGCAGCTTTTCATGGCTTTTGTGCTGAGCTAGACAGAATAGAGTGTTGTGTATGAGACGAGTTTGCTGTCTGCTGGAAAAAAAAATAGAAAAAAAATTAACAGATCCTTTTCATAAAAACAATCTGCCTTGCATCCCGTCATTAACAGAGTTCTCAGATATTGAGATACATCTTCATCTTAGTTTGTCTTCGGTCAAACTCCCATTGAAGCCTAGAGGTCAATGGGAATTTTGCCTGAGTAAGAAATAAATAAGAAATATATATATGTCCATACCACCAATAGTAAAAATATAGTTGTTTTAGAACTGTACTACTTAGAACAGGTAGGTATTGTCATTACAGGCATCAACCAAGACTGGGGTTGCATGATGCTGATCACTATATAAACACATAGTCAGAGTCTGTCTCTGGCCCAAAGACCTTACAATCTAAGGCTATGTCTAGACTGCAGGCTTCTTTCGAAAGAAGCTCTTTCGAAAGCATCTTTCGAAAGAGCCTCTTTCGAAAGATCGCGTCTAGACTGCAGGCGGATCTTTTGAAAGAGAAATCCGCTTTTTCGAAAGAGAGCACCCAGCGAGTCTGGATGCTCTCTTTCGAAGAAGCCCTATTTACATTCAAGAACGCCTTCTTTCGAAAGAGGAACTTTCGAAAGAAGGCGTTCTTCCTCGTGAAATGAGGTTTACCGCATCGAAAGAAAAGCCGCGTTCTTTCGAAATAATTTCGATAGAACGCGGCTTGAGTCTGGACGCAGGGGAAGTTTTTTCAGGAAAAGGCTACTTTTCCCGAAAAAACCCCTGAGTCTGGACACGGCCCAAGCAAATAATACAGACAAAACAAGTATAAGAGCATAAGAATATAAGAACGGCCATACTGGGTCAGATCAAAGGTCCATCTAGCCCAGTGATCTGTCTGCCGACAGTGGCCAATACCATATGCCCCATAGAGAGAGATTACAACACGTAATCCTCACATGATCCCTCCCCAGTCACTCAGGCTAGGGATACCATTCCTACCCATCCTGGCTACTAGCCATTGAAGGACCTAACATCTATGCATCTATCTAGCTCTTTTTTGAACCCTGTTAAAGTTCTAGCCTTCACTGCATCCTCTGGCAAGGAGTTCCACAGGTTGACTGTGTACTGGGTGAAGAAAATCTTCATTTTGTTTGTTTTAAACCTGCTGCCTATTAATTTCATTTGGTGACCCCTAGTTCTTATATTGTGGGATATTTTCCAGTGCCAGTATATCTTTTCCTTATTCACTTTTTCCATACCAGTCATGATTTTATAGACCTCTATCATATCCCCCCCCCCCTTAGTCTCCTCTTTTCTAAGCTGAAAAGTTCAAGTCTTTTTAATCTCTCTTAATTTGGGACCTGTTCCAAACCCCTAATAATTTTTTTTGCCCTTTTCTGAACCTTTTCCAATGCCAAAGTATATTCCAAAGTATAATTAATCTCCATTATACAGACAAGAAACAGTATTTTAAAAAATATTAAATGACTAAGTCAAGGTCCCACAGGGAATCTGTGGCAGAGCTGCAAATTCAATGCAGCTCTCCTCAGTTTCATTCTAACGCCTTTACCAGAAGACAATCCACAGCATTTTGCCCTGCTGGTAACAGTTTACCTGTGATTTGAAAATCTAGTAATGCTTGGAGGACAGGTGAATGTATATGAGGTAATATCGATGTCCATGGTTGCCAGATAACAGGAGGACTAAAAGTGGAGGAGTCTGTAGCAAATAAATGTCCAACAAATAATAATGATTTTTTTCCAGGTATCGTCTGGCTCCCGAGCACACGTACCCAGCACAGTATGAGGACTGTCTGGCTGCTTCCACACACTTTATGAAGATGGCAGAAGACTATGGAGTGGATCCTGCCTGTATTATCCTTGCGGGGGACAGTGCAGGAGGCAATCTTGCTGCTGCTGTTTGCCAAACCCTCGTGACTAGTGCAGACCTTCCGAAGGTACATGCTCAGCTCTTGATCTATCCATGCCTTCAGGCAATTGACTTCAATTTACCATCATATCAGCAAAACCGTGGAGTCCCCATCTTGTTTAGGGAACGTGCAGCTTTCTATGTTCTGCAGTACCTGACGGGTGATGCATCCTTTTTGGAAGATGTCCTGGAAGGTTCCCATCTTCCCGTAGACGTAAAATTGAAGTTTAAGAAATGGCTAAGCGCAGACAATATCCCCAAGGAATTTAAGGTCAGAGGGTTCAAACCAAAGGTGCCCATCGGATGCTCCCTTGAGGTTTATGAGGCAGTTAAAGGTCTCTGTGAGCCAGCCTTTTCCCCACTTTTAGCGTAGGAGGCTGTGGTTCGCCAGCTCCCGGCGTCGTTCATCTTGACCTGTGAGTATGACGTGCTTAGGGATGATGGCCTGTTATACAAGAAGAGATTAGAAGACAGCGGTGTTCCGGTGACCTGGTACCACATTGAGAATGGATTCCATGGAGTCATAAGCCTGTTTGGTCATGGAGGGTTGTCATTTCCAACTGGAAAAAAGGGACTGGACAGCATTGTAAGCTTTCTCAGAAGCTTATAAAAAACCAGTTTTTCAAATACTGGGTCTTCTGTTTCCTCTGGTCTCCATGTAGACCCCAAAGTCTGGGAAGAGCTCTATAGGAACAGTATTTGATATCACATGATGGGCTGCTTTGACATGGTTTCCCCTGCTGATGAAGTTCACAGGCTTGTGTGATGTCTCTTCTGTTGCTGGTTGGAGTGCTGATTGCACATCTACCTATTTGTAATGATTTCTTTGCATCATGCGGCAAGCTGGTGTCTTTCTAAATATCAGTAAATATTAAAGAATACTATTTGAACTGATTTTCTGGTTTGACCCATTGGATTCAATTAAGGCCTGGTTGCTGATCCTTTCATGGAGAGATATGGTGTGTGCGTGTGTGTTTTGCGTGCATGTGTGCATATACATGTGTGCAAATATTTGTGTAAGTAGGTACACACCACCTACAGCACAACATTATGATGCAAGGTCTGTGCACTGCAATACTTCTGGTAAGCGTCCAACTTGCATGCAGTTGCAGTAATTAAATCCTTTTTAAAGTACTTGGACTTTTGTGTTCTGCAAATTTACTATGGACCATGGAATATTTTTCACCGCAGTTCAGAATATTATTTGTATTACATTAAACAACGACTAACCAAACATCTTATGAACACATCTTTTACTTTTGCCCAGTGTAGTGCACTGAAAGCATCTTTCGAAAGAGCCTCTTTCGAAAGATCGCGTCTAGACTGCAGGCGGATCTTTTGAAAGAGAAATCCGCTTTTTCGAAAGAGAGCACCCAGCGAGTCTGGATGCTCTCTTTCGAAGAAGCCCTATTTACATTCAAGAACGCCTTCTTTCGAAAGAGGAACTTTCGAAAGAAGGCGTTCTTCCTCGTGAAATGAGGTTTACCGCATCGAAAGAAAAGCCGCGTTCTTTCGAAATAATTTCGATAGAACGCGGCTTGAGTCTGGACGCAGGGGAAGTTTTTTCAGGAAAAGGCTACTTTTCCCGAAAAAACCCCTGAGTCTGGACACGGCCCAAGCAAATAATACAGACAAAACAAGTATAAGAGCATAAGAATATAAGAACGGCCATACTGGGTCAGATCAAAGGTCCATCTAGCCCAGTGATCTGTCTGCCGACAGTGGCCAATACCATATGCCCCATAGAGAGAGATTACAACACGTAATCCTCACATGATCCCTCCCCAGTCACTCAGGCTAGGGATACCATTCCTACCCATCCTGGCTACTAGCCATTGAAGGACCTAACAATAGCACCAATAGTAAAAATATAGTTGTTTTAGAACTGTACTACTTAGAAGAGGTAGGTATTGTCATTACAGGCATCAACCAAGACGGGTTGCATGATGCTGATCATTATATAAACACATAGTCAAAGTCTGTCTCTGGCCCAAAGACCTTACAATCTAAGCAGATAATATAGACAAAACAAGTGTAAGAGCATAAGAATATAAGAACGTCCGTACTGGGTCAGACCAAAAGTCCATCTACCCCAGTGACCTGTCTGCCAACAGTGGCCAATACCAGATTCCCCAGAAGGAGGGATCACAACAGGTAATCCTCACGTGGTCCGTCCCCAGTCACTCACCTCCAGAGAAACAGGCCACTAAGGGGGAGACCTGTTCCAAACCCCTAATCATTTTTGTTGCCCTTTTCTGACCTTTTCCAATGCCAAAGTATATTTCAAAGTATAATTAATCTCCATTATACAGACAAGAAACAGTATTTAAAAAAAGATTAAATGACTAAGTCAAGGTCCCACAGGGAATCTGTGGCAGAGCTGCAAATTCAATGCAGCTCTCCTCAGTTTCATTCTAACGCCTTTACCAGAAGACAATCCACAGCATTTTGCCCTGCTGGTAACAGTTTACCTGTGATTTGCAAATCTAGTAATGCTTGGAGGACAGGTGAATGTGTATGAGGTAATATCGATGTCCATGGTTGCCAGATAACAGGAGGACTAAAAGTGGAGGAGTCTGTAGCAAATAAATGTCCAACAAATGATAATGATTTTTTCCAGGTATCGTCTGGCTCCCGAGCACACGTACCCAGCACAGTATGAGGACTGTCTGGCTGCTTCCACACACTTTATGAAGATGGCAGAAGACTATGGAGTGGATCCTGCCTGTATTATCCTTGCGGGGGACAGTGCAGGAGGCAATCTTGCTGCTGCTGTTTGCCAAACCCTCGTGACTAGTGCAGACCTTCCGAAGGTACATGCTCAGCTCTTGATCTATCCATGCCTTCAGGCAATTGACTTCAATTTACCATCATATCAGCAAAACCGTGGAGTCCCCATCTTGTTTAGGGAACGTGCAGCTTTCTATGTTCTGCAGTACCTGACGGGTGATGCATCCTTTTTGGAAGATGTCCTGGAAGGTTCCCATCTTCCCGTAGATGTAAAATTGAAGTTTAGGAAATGGCTAAGCGCAGACAATATCCCCAAGGAATTTAAGGTCAGAGGGTACAAACCAAAGGTGCCCATCGGATGCTCCCTGGAGGTTTATGAGGCAGTTAAAGGTCTCTGTGAGCCATCCTTTTCCCCACTTTTAGCGGAGGAGGCTGTGGTTCACCAGCTCCCGGCGTCGTTCATCTTGACCTGTGAGTATGACGTGCTTAGGGATGATGGCCTGTTATACAAGAAGAGATTAGAAGACAGCGGTGTTCCGGTGACCTGGTACCACATTGAGAATGGATTCCATGGAGTCATAAGCCTGTTTGGTCATGGAGGGTTGTCATTTCCAACTGGAAAAAAGGGACTGGACAGCATTGTAAGCTTTCTCAGAAGCTTATAAAAAACCAGTTTTTCAAATACTGGGTCTTCTGTTTCCTCTGGTCTCCATGTAGGCCCCAAAGTCTGGGAAGAGCTTTATAGGAACAGTATTTGATATCACATGATGGGCTGCTTTGACATGGTTTCCCCTGCTGATGAAGTTCACAGGCTTGTGTGATGTCTCTTCTGTTGCTGGTTGGAGTGCTGATTGCACATCTACCTATTTGTAATGATTTCTTTGCATCATGCGGCAAGCTGGTGTCTTTCTAAATATCAGTAAATATTAAAGAATACTATTTGAACTGATTTTCTGGTTTGACCCATTGGATTCAATTAAGGCCTGGTTGCTGATCCTTTCATGGAGAGATATGGTGTGTGCGTGTGTGTTTTGCGTGCATGTGTGCATATACATGTGTGCAAATATTTGTGTAAGTAGGTACACACCACCTACAGCACAACATTATGATGCAAGGTCTGTGCACTGCAATACTTCTGGTAAGCGTCCAACTTGCATGCAGTTGCAGTAATTAAATCCTTTTTAAAGTACTTGGACTTTTGTGTTCTGCAAATTTACTATGGACCATGGAATATTTTTCACCGCAGTTCAGAATATTATTTGTATTACATTAAACAACGACTAACCAAACATCTTATGAACACATCTTTTACTTTTGCCCAGTGTAGTGCACTTTTAAATAGAGTAAAACATGAAAAAAGATAATTGTTGTCCATCTAATGTACCCACTAAAATCATGAGGCCATGAAGTAAATATCTTTGCTACATCCATCTAGAGAGACATCAGAGAGGTTTTTGCTCTTCTATTTAACAATACTCTACCAGGATAAACTTAATAAACAGCAAATGGTCCAATAGTCTGCCAGTTTTGAATAAGATCCAGTGTTGTATCAGTTTAATCTCATGTTCTGTTAAGGAACTAAAATCTTCTGTTACAGTGAAACATTCTTGATGATTTACGTGCATTGTTTTCTCTTTCACTTCTATGAGTCGAAGATGTTCCTCCTTATTGAAAAATTCTATATGATATATATCTTTGGTGGGAGCAGCCTAAAGAATTTAGTTCATTATATCCCTGATATCGAATTTTATAAGAAGGATACAAAAAACCGTCAAAAGGATTTTTTTTTTATTTCCAGAGTAATTTCTACAGAACCCTGCTTAATTTCTATAGCAACCCTAGTGGCTGCATCCTTATTAAATTCTATATGCATTCCTTAAAGCAATCCTCATTGCCCTATTCACATTTCCAATCCAGTAATTATGTCCTTCCTACTCCATCTATGTAAGCACTGTTGGACTACCTTTTTTTAGATTACCTCATGAGCAGTGTAAAGATCCAATCCTGCTCCCCTTGAAGTCAGAAACAAAATTCAATTTATCTTGAAACCAATCTGATAGCTTTCTTTGATAGGATAATAAGTCTTGTGGATAGGGAGAAGCAGTGAACATGGTATACTGAGACTTTAGCAAAGCATTTCATACGGCCTCACATGACATTCTTATCAATAAACTAGGGAAATACAACCTAGATGGGGCTACTATAAGGTGGGTGCATAACTGGCTGGATAATTGTTCTCAGAGAGTAGTTATTAATGGTTCCCAGTCATGCTAGAAGAGCATAACAGGTGGGGTTCTGCAGGGGTCTGTTTTGGGACTGGTTCTGTTCAAAAACTTCATCAACAATTTAGATATTGGCATAGAGAGGACGCTTATTAAGTTTGCAGATGATACCAAGCTAGGAGGGGTTGCAAGTGCTTTGGAGAATAGGGTCATAATTCAAAATGATCTGGACAAACTAGAGAAATGGTCTGAGGTAAATAGGATGAAGTTTAATAAGGAAAAATTCAAAGTATTCTACTTAGGAAAGAACAATCAGTTTCACACATACAAAATGGGAAGCGACTGTCTAGGAAGTGTACATAATGGATCACAAGCTAAATATGAGTCAACGGTGTGATGCTGTTGCAAAAAAAGCAAACATGATTCTGGGATGCATTAACAGGAGTGTTCTGAGCAAGACATGAGAAATCACTCTTCTGCTCTACTCAAGGAAGATGTGGAGAAATTGGAGAAGGTCCAGAGAAGAGCAACAAAAATGTTTAGAGCTCTAGAAAACATGACATGAGGGAAGACTGAAAGAATTGGGCTTGTTTAGTTTAGAAAAGAGAAGACATGATAGCAGTTTTCAAGTATCTAAAAGGGTGTTACAAAAAGGCGAGAGAAAAATTGTTCTCCTTGGCCTCTGATGATAAGACAACAAACAAAGGAGGGTTTGGTTGGACATTAGGAAAAATTTTCTAACTCTCAGGAAGCTTAAACACTGGACTAAATTGCCTTGGGAGGTTGTGGAATCTCCATCTCTGGAGATATTTAAGAGCAGATTAGATAGACATTTATCAGGGATGATCTTGATGGTGCTTGGTTCTGCCATGAGGGCAGGGGACTGGACGACCTCTCGAGGTCCTTTCCAGTTCTAGTGTTCTATGATTCAATGCTGCAGAAGCCTCTTTGTTGCTTAACAGGAGGATCCACTGTTGCTTAGAGAGTGTTTGCAACCATTGACAATCGCCATGGGGATAGCAAACAATGGAGATTCCAAGGCAGGGGAGTTCCACACATTAACTGCCTTGCTACACACACAATCAGAGGGACTCATAGATCTCGTTCTGCCTGGTCATCGCTGCATGAACGCAGAAGTCTCATTCACCTTCCAGAAGGGGAAGGGAAGGGCAGAGGAGTCACCAATTCTACAGGAGTGGAGGGGAAGAGGTGCTGCTGATGCTAAGAAGCATGCTTACATCTCCAAAGGATGTACAGGAATGGTATCTTCCCAGCTGGAAAATAAAACCGAAGTACTCTACAAAAGTGCTCGTTGGAAACTGGTTGGAAGAGAGGAAAAGGGTAAGAAGGGATAAAGAAAAGGGAAATATAGAAGGCCAGACCTGATGCTATGGAGCTAAGTAATCTTCAAACTTTAGAGGAGTTTGGATTCAAGTTGATCCCAGAAAAGGATCAAAGGTGGAACATTGGGTGTCTTGACCACAAAATTCACTGGCCTGCTTCCATTCATTCTGGTCAGGCTGAGGCACTCTTCCCAGTAAGCCAGTATTGAAGTAATGCCCAAGCATGAGACCATGGGTTAGTAGATACAGAGGTTCTTACAGACAACACATAAAGTGAAATTTTTGGGCCATTAACTATCCCAGGGTACTTCTCCCAAGACCACTTCCTTTTTAGTTAGTGTGTGTTTTGCCCTGCTCTATTTGTAGATAGCCAAATTAAGCATCACGATCCCCACTTATATCACTGTAAGCAAAGAGTATGGCTTCATCTAGACTGGCAAGTTTTTCCGCAAAAGCAGGTGCTTTTGCGCAAAAACTTGCCAGCTGTCTACACTGGCTGCTTGATTTTGCACAAAAGCACTGACGTTCTACTGTCCGAAATCAGTGCTTCTTGCGCAAATGCTTTGACGTTCCCGTTCGAGCAAAATCCCTTTTCCGAAATGTTTTTGCGCATGAGGGCTAGTGTAGACAGCTAAAAACTGTTTTGCGCAAAAAAGCCCTGATGACGAAAATGGTGATCGGGGCTTTCTTGCGCAAAACTGCGTTTAGATTGGCACGGATGCTTTTCCGCAAAAAGTGCTTTGCCAAAGGATCAATGCCCACAAAACAGATATTAGACAGGATCACAAAGAAAAAACAGTTTCTTGCCATTTGAACCAGAAAGGACATTGTCTCAACGACTTGATTACCTGCATCCTGCTTCAAAGACCTTTTCAGACCACACTTCAAAGAGAATCCTCTGAACTGTCATTCATGCTTAAATTCGACACTTTACCCTTAGGTTTAAACAACGACATTAATTATCTTACCCATTACAAAGATAGCTTCCCCAATTATCACCTCTAATATCGTTAGCTCACAGACATTTATCTTCCCCCCTCATCTCCCTTCTGTTCTGAAATTTGATTTGTCCTTTTCACGTGTTCATTTTTTTAATTGTATCCTTTGGTATATATGGTTGTGACAATTTTCTTCCACTATTTGATCTGAGGAAGTGGGTCTGGCCCACGAAAGCTCATCGCCTAATAAACCATCTTGTTAGTCTTTAAAGTGCTGCATAGTCCTGTGTTTTGTTCGTGCCAATCTAGACGCTCTTTTCCGCAAATGTGTTTCACGGAAAAACTTTTGCATTAAAAGCATTTGTGGAAAATCATGCCAGTCTAGATGTAGCCTATATGTTTACGGGGAGTGGTCCCCATACAAAAAACACTGAACTTTGAAAATCACTCCTGATGAAGAATGTTTTTGCTTAAGATCCAACAACTGGTTTGGTAGTTTCAGTGTGAATAATCACTATGTAAAATTAAAAAAAAAAAACCAACCAGTAGTCCTGTGGCACTCTAGAGTCTAACAAAAATATATGCAGAGTATCATGAGTTTTCGTGGGCAAAACCCACTTCTTCAGATGAGATGATCTTCAGGGGAAAAAAGTGGGGGGACCCTCAGGCTATGTCTAGACTGCAGGCTTCTTCCACAAGAAGCTTTTTGCAGAAGAGATCTTCCGTAAAAACTTCTTGAGCAAGAGCACGTCCACACTACAAAAGTGCATCAGAAAAGCGATGCGTTTTTGCGCAAGAAAGCGTCCAGACTGCACGGATGCTCTCTCGCAAGAGAGCTCTGATTGCTATTAACAAGAATGGCCACCAAGGCACCTGTACTTCTTTCTGTAGGCTGTTTTTGTGCAAAAAAACCCTGTTTCCCATCCACACACACCTTTTTGCACAAGAGCTCTTGTGCAAAAAGGAGTTATTCCTCGTAGAAAGAGGAATATCTACACTGCAAAACCCCCTCTGTTCTGCCGATTCACTGTACATTTTCTTGCGCAAAAACGCACTTGAGGTGCAGACACTCCGCGAGTTTTTGCGCAAAAATGGCCATTTTTGTGCAAAAGCTCGGCAGTGTAGACATGACCTCAGAATAAGATGGAAGAGAAGAAAGAAAAAAAATGACCTGCCAGTTGTAGCCCTGGTGCTAATGAGACTAACTGAGTGGGCTGCAAGTGTCCCATGCTTAGCTTTGGATGTCAATAGCATGCGGAATGTAAGGAAAGCTGATGTTAGAATATGTTAACCAGTTCAAATCTTTGTTCAGCCCAAGTGAGAAGGTGTCAAATTTTCATAAGAAAGTCAATTTCTCTCTCTCTCTCTCTCTCTCTCCCCCCCCCTCTCTCTCTCCCCTCTCTCTCTCTCTCCCCCAGAGGGTGCATCTAGATTACAGGGATTTTTCGAAAACAGTAGCCTTTTTTTGAAAAATCTTGACCTGCATCTAGACTGCTGCCACGTTCTTTCGACAGTAAATCGAAAGAATGCAGCAGTTTTTTCGACCATGGAAAACCTCGTTTTACAAAGAATAACGCCTATTTTTGAAAGTGCTCTTTCGACAAAAGGCGCTATGGAATGCAAACTGTGCTTTTTCGAAAGAGAGCATCCAGACTGCCTGAGTGCTCTCTTTTGAAAATGAGTCTGGCTTTTTTGGAAGTGATGGTTGTAGTCTAGATGCTCTTTTTCGAAAGAGGCTTTTATAAAAGATACTTTCGAAAAAGCCTCTTTCGAAAGAGGCTTGCAGTCTAGACATAGCCTCTGTCTCTCTTGTTAGCTTGTGAAATTCTGCTGTAGAAAAATGGCTACTTTTAAGTCCATTAATGAGTGCCCAGGCAGGTTGCAATGTTCACCTACTGGTTTCTCTGTGTTACCATTGCAAATATCTGATTTGTGTCCATTAATCCTTTGTCATAGAGACTGTCCAGTTTGGCCAATATACATCGCAGAGGGACATTGCTGGCACTTGATGGCACAGTTCACAGCAGAGGATGTGCAGTTGTATGAGCCTCTCATGTGGTGGCTTATGTGGTTAGGTCCTGTACACATAGCAAGTGTCTCCTTTTGGATCTCTTTTAGTTTATAAAAGATCTTGGGAAACCCAGCAACAGCGTCTATGGGACTGACTTTATTCACTTCCCTGACTGCAGAACAGATCAAACAGTGAGGAGATCCATTATGAAGAAACTTGATGTAAGTAAAAAAAATTATCTCAGGGCTTGATTGTACAGAGATTTAGTGCATGGCAAATGGAAGTGGGAATCCACAGTGCACCAGCCTGATGTAAGCTGAAAAGCCTCAAGGACTCTGTTCCCATGAAAGGCCTGTGGTATGCTTTTATCTGCTGTTTGAAACACCATAAGAACGGCTATGCTGGGTCAGCCCAAAGGTCCATCTAGCCCAGTATCCTGTCTTGCAACCATGGCCAATGCCAGGTGCCTCCAGAGGGAGGGAACAAAACAGGAATTCATCACGTGATCCCTTTCCTATCATCCATTTTCAGCCTCCGACAAACAGAGGCTAGGGACACTATTCCTACCCATCCTGGCTATTAGCCATTAATGGATCTATCCTCCATGAATTATGTAGCTCTTTTTTGAACCTGTTAACTTTCTGGCCTTTACAACATCTTGTGGCAAGGAGTTCCATAGGTTGACTAGAGGGCTGTCCATTTACACCCCGGCTTGCAGTGCACTAAGGGTATGTCTAGACCAGTGGGTTCTCAACCGTGGGCCATATGGCTTCCCAAGGGCCACACCCTACCTCTAGGGGGCCACATGGAAAAAATGGAACATTAGGTAAATTATGTACCTTTTTTTCCAACTAACAGGGGCTATGAGCGGGGCCACAGAGGTAAACGAGGCTCAGAAGGGGGCCATGAGCAAAAAAAGGTTGAGAAACACTGGTCTAGACTACATGGCTCCATTGACGGAGCCATGTAAACTAGTTTACCCGACATAGTCAATGAAGCGGGATTTAAATAATCCCCCCTTCCTTAAAATAAAAATGGCCACCACACTGTGCCGACAATCAGCTGATCCGGCACAGCGCAGCAGTCTAGACGTGGATCAGTCGACAAGGGAAATCTTTGTCGACCGCTCCCTTATGTCTCATGAAACGAGGTTTACAGGCGCAGTCGACAAAGGCTTCCCTTGTCGACCGATCCGCATTTAGACTG